CTTACATAAATAAAAAACTAATAATTCTATACATTAGCATAACATTTTACAATTAATGCACTTTGATATATATCATCCCATTTGATGATAAGGTAGGTTGGAGTTTGTTAAGTCATCAAAAACATTTTATACTTAATTTCTGTTGATTTAACTCTTTCTTAGGTTGCTTTGGTTGCGATAAACATCATTGGAGACCCTGCAGATTTCAGTGATGAAAGCAATATTGTAAGTGCGGGAAGTTTAATTCCTAAGGAAGAAAGTGTGTTGTTAACAGGAGGGAATCATTTGTTTGCACTATCAAAAATGTCATTTTAAAAATCTTTATACATTGACTAGTGAATGCCGTCAGATGATTTTTAGCAGCTATAGTACGTTAAACTTTTCTTTACTCAGCAGTTTTAGCTATCCTTCCAAAAGTCCAGAACCACAGACTACTTTGTCACATATCCTTACAGTCACGATCTGTTGTTCCTTGCTTGCTCTGAGATACTAAGCAGATGTTTTGCTCCCAAAGACCTCTAGAGAGAAGCTGCTTGACCATTATCTTGGGCAGAACACAGAGGATCCGGCTCTAGAAGGAACTTATGCTGGGTAAGAGTCCTGCTCTCCACGCAGCAAACACCTGTACCTGTCCTCAGAATCACGGAAGTGTCCGTCATTTCCAAGGGATTCTGGGTTTGAGAGCCTCTAAATTCAGTGTAGCGCTGGATAAGCCACTGATTGGATTGTCTCAAACTTCCATGCGGATTAAGGTCATTGTTTTATTTAGCGCACCTTCCCTTACTGCCCTCAGAGACTACTTCATTTCTTGTGTTCAGGTGTTACTAGAAGGTTCCTAAAATGCATTTAGAAAAAAGAGCTATCAGCCATCCTTTGATATTTTATTGGCACAGGCACATTCATAGGTAAAAATCAAAGGTATTAATTGACCCAAATTAACAGTTACCAGAGACGTCATCTTATGGTTACTTTAAAAAACTTACTCGTTAGGGGAGTAAGAAATACAAATCATACCAGTTTTTAAAAACAATTTTTACTAATTCCTCTCTACCCGTTAAAACATTCTTCACGTTAACAATTGTAGACACTTATTTCTTTTGCTGCCTTTTTTTTCCTGGCAATGTAAGGACCCCTGGCAGGTCCAGGGTGGGGAAGCTAAAGAGCCCTACTGCGCCGTCCTTGGTCACCCCTCTGTCCCTGGGTGCCTCTTTGGGACAGCAGCTCCCTCAGCAACCTCACCACATGCTCGCTGCGGGCGACACATGGGCACCCCCTCCCGAGGTGCCACGTCTAAAGAGAAGAGGAAGAGGAATGCACAATGGTAACGATCCCTGGTTCTTCTTCTCTGACAGCAGCTTCCCAATAAGGAAAAGATCAAACGTTTTGAAATATCTTAATAGATGTTTCCAATTTGGTATGATTTCACTTTCCCTGCATACAATCAAACTGCTGACACGGAGTGACTAACAGTTGAGCCCGGCTCTTCTGTTCGCACAAAACGTGGCGTAGATTCCCTCTGTGGTTGTTCGGGAGCCGTTCGCTGTTTGCCGAGTGTGCGTGCTGGAGACAGTGAGCCTTTCTTCCCGCGGAGCCCCCTCCTGTCCCCACACGGCTGGTCTTCGCAAGGACCTGTCAGCCGTGGTAGGAGGTGCAGACCGAGGGCCGTCACGGGTGCTTGCGAGTGGCCTGCTGGGAAAGTGCGTGGAGGCCGTTCGAGTGACGTTTGCAGAAAACGATGCTGAAAGTTACGTACCTGCCCACACACACTTCTCAGTCTGCACCTCAGGTCCCCCTTCGCCTGACAGAAAGATAAAAACACGCCTCACCTTCAAAAGGGAATTTGAAACCCCTTGGGGGCAAAGAGCACTAAGGAGCAGATGGCTGTGTCTCTCCGCTTCTCGTCAGCGTGGTGACCATGACCGCACTCGGTTTCTGCCCTTGCTGAAGCTCACGCCAATAAAACAGAAACAACAAAATTAATTGATACGTTTTAGACTCTATCTCCAATAAAAGTTCCTTCTGTTATTTTCTGTGTTAGATCAGTTGTCCCAGTCCTGCCAGCCAAGGGGGATGGCAGACTGGTTTGCCTGTCCTGCCTGTGCCCTGGGGTTTCATGAGGGCAAAGCGAGGGGCTGAGGAGGTTGTGTAACCGTCAAGCGTGGGGCTCCACTGGACGTGGAAGTCCGGTCGTCAGCCCGAGGCGTTCTGTCCGAGTGGGCTGCTGAGTTGCCAGGCGTCGGGACGCAGATGGCACGGGACGTTGTTTCTTCTTTGTAGGATTTTTGTAATCAAAGGAAGTCTGTCTTCATCTCTGGGGCATCAAGGCAAAGTGACTTAGACTTAAGGGTGTAGAATGTGTTTCTAAAAATAATTAACATGGTCTTGTAGAAACACCAAAATGTGTCACTGTTCAGTCATCCCTGGAACTAACTGATACAGTTCAAAGCTGCTGAAGCCGTCCTGGTCATCGGCCTACCTGGGGCTCTGGTTGTGGCGTTCACGGAGTGGGGCACGTCAGAAGAAAGACTTGGGGAATTTTAAGGGTGACGTATTCCCATGTCCCCTTTGAATTTAGTATTATACAAATGAGCTAAATCTATGTGAAAATAATATTTTAATTAAAATTTCCCTATATATAAGGATATCCAAGTCACAGCCAAAAGCTGGCTTATTTCATGTAGTTGATACAGCAGACTGGAATTCTTTGAAATTGTCCTCTGTTAGAGTTCTTGTCGTGTGGTTAGACTAGCTTTATTCTAAATTCTAGACCCAGAAGAAAGCTGACCATTGCCCTACTGTAGAACTTGAAGAATAAGGTAATATTTAATCAGCAATTAGTTATTCAGGTAACTAAGAAGATCATTTAGGCCAGGCATGCTCACACCTGTAATCCCAGCACTTGAGGAGGCTGCTTGAGGCCAAGAGTTCAATACCAGCCTGGGCAACATAGTAAGACCCCCATCTCTACAAAAAATGAAAAAGACAAAAATTAGCCAAGTGTGGTGGCAGGCACATGTAGTCCCAGCTACTCTCGAGAGGCAAAGGGAAGAGGATCACTTGAGCTGGGAGCTCAAGGCTGCAGTGAGCTATGATTGTGCTTCTGCACTCCAGCCCAGGTGACAGAATAAGACCCTGTCTCTTACAGAAAAAAAAGATCATTTAGATTTCTGAAAAAACTTTTCTGATCTCCTGTAGGACTCGATGGTTGATAGCATGCAGGTTAACACTTCGGGGCGAAAGCTCAAGGGTAGCAATTCTTAACCTGTAGTGCTCATCAAAAGCACTGTGGTGGTGTCGTAAATACGCATGCCTGGACTGGACTCCACCTTGGCCCACCACCTCACACGCTCTAAGAGCGGGGCCTGGTCATCCATTTGTTTTGTTCTTTTTGTTTGTTTCCCCCCCATTCTGCAACTGAGTCACATTCGCTGTTATGTTCCCAGTGCCCACAACCAGCGCGGCCCTGAGTCTGCGCTTGGAATTCTGTCGAGTGGGTGAGCGAGTACACGCACCAAAGGCCCAGTGCCCTGACGTGGGCTTCAGTTAACGCAAGAGCACGAGCTCTGGAGTCAGAAAGACCTGCTTGCACTTAGGAGCTCCGTGACCTGAAGCCCAGCACTGACTTCTCTGAGCCTCCCTTTCTCATGCAGGAGCTGCCCCGTGACCTGGGGGTGGGCACGGGGTCTGCGCATCCTCCGCACTGAGCTCACAGGGCTTCCCTGCTAGATTGCAATTAGCTCTAAAATATTCATTTCTTCCCTTTAGGAAACCTGACTATATCTCTCCACTAGATGACTTAGCTTTCGATATGTACCAAGATCCAGAAGTTGCACAGATTATACGCAAATTAGATGAAAGAAAACGCGAAGCCGTCCAAAAGGAGCGCTATGATTATGCCAAGAAACTAAAACAAGCTATTGCCGATTTGCAAAAGGTACTGCTTCTGGAGAAAACAGTTCCTATTTTATGCTTGTGTTAGGTTTTAGGTATAATTATTATAACTACATGTTGAAACAAAGCAACAGGCTACTAAAGGCTGTGAAGTCAGTGTGAGTTCCAAGAGCTCAGTGAGATACAGTTATGAATAGAGGAGCACCATAAAATGTCAGTGGAAGCATGTGCTTTCCCTCTTCAGACTCACACTCAGGTGCCCTCAGCCGCTTTGTTGCTGGGACCCTTAGTGCTGTGGGAAATGGGAGGAAAATGAGCCATCCCGAAAGTCATCATGAACTCATGGGCCTTAGGTGCTGGCACAGCCACAAGCAGCCGGACCTTTGCGATGAATGCTGCCCCTGTCTCCCGTTTCCCTGCACTCGTTCCCTCTCCTTGTGGGATGCATACACGGCCGTCGTCTCTGCTGTTAAAGCATTACTCCAAAAATTGTCTTTGCGCTTGATGTGAGTTGGTCCAAACTTGAAACAAAATGCCACCATTTTGTGCTTCAGGTTGGTGAGCGTCTTGGGAGGTACGAGGTAGAAAAGCGCTGTGCCGTGGAGAAAGAAGACTACGATCTTGCCAAAGAGAAGAAGCAGCAGATGGAGCAGTACCGCGCTGAGGTATATGCGCAGCTGGAGCTGCACAGCCTCATGGACGCCGAGCTGGTAGGTGCAGGGGCGACCAGGTGAGGGGCCCGGGGCAGGACTCTGGAGTGGGTGGATGGAAGCCTCAGGGAGGAGAGATTCAGTTGTGGTGTTCCTAAAATTGAGTGTCTGTTTCATAAATGAAATGCGAAAGATTTTGTAATGCTCAGGTGACACTTACAACAGATCAGTTCAGCTCTGTGTGCCTGCGTCAGTCAGCTTTTTCCTTGGCACATTCTCAGGAGGATTCACAGTAGAGGGAAAGGGAGTGAGTCAGGATTCGGGGAGATGGAGGCCCTGACACTTTTGCCTGAGAGTTCTTCAGCTCTTGTTCCCAGCCTCCTCGTTTGTAAACTGATAACCCTGCCCCATCTCCCCTCAGAGTGTTGTGAGGATACAGTGACAGAGTATACTGACTGCTTTGGCACATGGAGAAGGTGTTTCACATGAGGAATTCTGCCTCTGATCGTTGGAACTCATGCAGGCAGGTGGTATTCATCCCCTGTGACAGATCAGGAAACTGAGGCCCTGAGACACAGGATAGTGGTTGAGAGCACACACTCTGGAGCTGGACTGCCTGGGTTCAAATCCAAGTTTCACCATTGTAGCTGCGTGATCGCACACTAATTGTTCTGAGTTCTGTGCCTCAGTTTAAGTGGGGGTAAGAACAGTGAGCATTGGTTGGTCCGAGTGCAGTGGTATTTACAACTAATTGATCACAACCAGTTACAGATTCCTTTGTTGCTTCTCCACTCCCACTGTTTCGCTTGACCAGCAAAAAAAAAAAAAAAAGACAGTAAGCTGAGCCCGCCTGTCTGAAGCACCTGGCACCATGCCCAGTGCACAGTCAGCTTTGCTTGTCGGGATCACACAGCATCGCTTGTCTTTGCAGACACGGTAAAGAGCACACCAGACTTTGATCCAAATCTGCTTGGGTCCAGCCCAGATGCTTCATCCCCACTGCCCTGCTTCTCCGAGGGCACCTGTGGGGACATGCCACATGCACTGTAGTGCCCATGTACAAATGCTCCTTTCTACACTAACATTTTGGGTGTGGTCATCACTTTTGTAGTCCACACAGTAACCATGGAGAGACAAGTGAGGTGAGTGCCCTGTGACCGTGTAGGACTTTCGCATAGATGATCACTACCTGTGAAAGTTTTCTTTTTATTTTGCAACTTCTCGCTGTGCCAAGGATCCTCTTCCAGCACAGCCTTTCTAAAGTCTTATTCATCTTGGGGAATGAGGTCATATATGGTAGTGGCATCTGAAATTAATTGTCCCTTTTTTCGTCTAGATGCGAAGACCTTTTGATTTACCCCCGCAGCCCCTCGTTCCTTCTGGCAGTCCTCGCCACCGAAAGCCAGTGCCCTCGCTCCCACAGCTGGAAGAAAGAGGAACAGAAAACCGGTTTGCAGAGCCTTTCCTTCAGGAAAAGGCTTCGTCGTGTTCTGTAACCATTTCTCCTCAGCATTCTCTAGCAGACCAGTTACTGCCTGCCACAGACCCTCATCCAAAGATCAATGTAGGTAACTCGGTTTCAGGTTGGTATTCGTTTCATTCAACAGATATTTATTGAGGACCTGTGTCACGCCTGGTGCTGTTCTGGTACATGGGATATGTGAGTGCACCACACAGACAAGCCCCCTCTTCACCTCCGTTCTAGGAGAACTAAGCACTGAGTAGAACATAACATGAGCAATAAGCCTGTTAGCCGCACCTCGTGTGGGAGACACTGTCTGCATTCAGGCCTGTCAGGCCTCCCCACTGCGGTGCCCCTGTCAGCCTGTGGTCCTGCACGTCCTTCATCCTGAGCCCTTGTTTGTCTCTCTATAAAAATATACAAACATCTGCTTAAAGCATTGTTCAAGGAATAAAAGAGGCAATATTTGTAAAATGCCTAACACATGAACTAACCACAGTTAAACCTCAGTAAAGTTTTGTGTATAGTTACTATACCTGTTAGAATTTTCTGTGTTGTAATTGAGGGTTTCATTGGCTTTTGTAGCTGTTAAGGGATCATGTGGGTTTTGGGGCTAGATTGATTGAGTAGCTCACAGCATCATCAGAAACCTGGTTTCTGCCTGTCATTCCGCTGTCTTTCTCTGGTTCCCTGTCACCCTGGAGCTGGCTGCTGTCATGGCAGCTCTAAGCTGCAAACTGTACGTCGTGCCATCTGGGGAAGAGACCGTGTCCCATTCTAAGCAGGAGTCCTCGGGTTTGCCCTGATTAGATCAGCCTTTGAAGTGATAGCTAGGATCCAAGGAGGGATGTATGACGTTTGGTCAACACCTTCCTGGGACCTTTGGCTTCTGGCAGGTGGACCTGGGTTCCACCCGGGGAAGGAAGGAAGCATGGCAGCTGGCCAGCGAGTGTCTGCTGCAGAGCTGGTCAGCTCGCCTCACTCGTGCCCTGTCTTAGAACAGTCACTGCAGCCCCTGCCACATCTTTTCCATAACTTAATTTTTATATTTTATTTACTACTTCAATTTAATAGACCGTAACCTTACCTTTATTTTTCATTCAAAGTTTTTTACAACTATGAGTGAGTTTTAGAATATAAGAAAGTTATTCTCGCACGTTATATACACAATATCTTATTAAGTGTTAAGGATGAATACTTATCCTTGTTCATTTCCATGTCACGGTAACACCTGCCCCAGAAAGTGAATCAGGACTCGCTCGCTCAGTTCTCGGTTATCTGATTCCTGCTACACGTTGACTGGCTTAGTCGTGCACCTTTGTCTCCCCCAGGAGGTAGCGAGCCCTGAAGGGGCAGGAAGTCTGTCTTGTTTGTTGCTGTACGTGGGCACCAAGAACAGTGCCTAGAGTTAATTAGGTGCTCAGTAAATATTTGTTAGCCTAATAGGTAACTAGAATAGACAACTGTCTGTCCAGAGTTGTAGCAGGCACTGCAGAGAAAGCTTGTTTAGAGATTCTTTAACTTTGACTACTGTTTTAAATATAAGGCCCCATGATAATGAACATATTTATTAAAAGCAGGCTTGATTCTTATTTCTAAGCAGTAACCTAGGAAAATGTTTATAACAGAGCTCTTATTAGAAAATATAATAATTTTTACTTTAGTAATTTCCATGTCAGCTAAACTGAAATTGCTACTGGGGGACAGTAATTGAGGCATAATCTACATTGGTTTTTTTCGTTAGGTCTATAATGAGGGTTTTGTTTTGTTCTGAGACAAAGTCTTGCTTTGTTGCCCAGGCTAGAGTGCCGTGGCGTCAGCCCAGCCCACAACAACCTCAAACTCCTGGGCTCAAGGGATCCTCCTGCCTCAGCCTCCTGAGTAGCTGGGACTACAGGCATGTGCCACATGCCTGGCTAATTTTTTCTATATATTTTTAGTTGTCCAGCTAATTTCTTTTTATTTTTTTAGTAGAGACAGGGTCTCGCTCTTGCTCAGGCTGGTCTCAAACTCCTGAGCTCAAGCAATCCTCCCACCTCGGCCTCCCAGAGTGCTGGAATTACAGGCGTGAGCCACCGTGTCCATCCTATAATGAGTTTAGAAAGGTAGAGAAAGCCTCATCTCATTTTTTCAGTTACATCCTGTTAGTTATGTAAGTTATTCTAACCTGATGATACTGATATTTGGCAAAATAACGTCTTTCAGACCAGGCAAGCAAGTGCAGTAGCCTGCTGGTGAGCGTCACATCGGGGTGGGGAGGGTAGTAGGAGAACACCCCCAGCTCCACAGTGCTGCCCTCTTTCCTTCACCACTGCAGGTGGAGCCCCTTCCCTACGACGAGCGGCCCCTTCCAGCTATTCGCAAGCAACAGGGGGAAGCGCTGGCAGAGCCAGAAATGAGTGACGCAGACACCGGCGATGCTCAGAGAGGGGGCGTTTCAGGGGAGCCGGAGCCCTTAACAGAGAAGGCCTTGAGAGAAGCCAGCACTGCCATCGAAGTGTTAGGCGAAACCTTGGTAAACGAAAGGGAAAAGAAGCTCTCCGCATGCATGCATGCGTGCATACACAGAAAGGAAGGAAACACGCCCAAGGCTTTGTGTTTGTGATATTGTTGATTTCGCTTTGTTCTTACTGAATTGGGAGCCTTTTGTTAATTATTAATAATGTCAAACAGAAAAACGTGAGCTAAAATTTCAGACTTTATGAACAAGTATTCATTTAAGACTCGGCGTTCCTGGTATTTGCGGAGCTGGTGTTAAACATCAGCCCCTTTTCTTGAACACCCGCTGGTTCCAGCGAAGCACGATAGCAAAGGCAGATGGACGCACCTCCCTAGAGACAGCCCAGCGGGTTCGTTCCCCTGGTTCTCAGCCGTAAAATGTTTCTCTTGGTGGAGCTTTTAGTTCTTTCCATATTTTAATGGAAAGTATTGAATATAAATATTTCATATTTAATAGTCTTAAATTTTCCTTGTCAGAAAAATTATTTCCATAAATATAAGTATTCTGTAGAAGTCGTGTTTTTAGAAAAGATTCTTCTCAGTTTTAAAAAAACCAAACAAAAGAAAGCCTTCAAATTGTGTAGTATTTGGAGGGTGGTTGTGTGATGCGAAAACTAACTGGAAGTGAAGCCAGACCCCTGTTTCGTGGCAGGTTGCCGGGGCCTATTCCAAGGTATGGTCCTATCGAGAGGACGCGCTGCTCACTTTGTACCAGAAGCTGATGGAGATGCCTGTTGGAACACCAAAAGAAGATCTAAAGAACACACTGAGAGCGTCCATCTTTGTCATCAGAAAAGCCATAAAGGACATTGTGAGCCCAGTGAGTCCCCCAGCTGGCGCTGGCTGCAGCATCCATGGATGAGGTCACATAGCATGAGAGGTGGCCAGCTGGCATAGTCGCCAACTCTAGCTCGCTGATATAACTAAGAATTAATGTTCTCTAGCAAGAAATAGATCGTGCGAGTGAGTGCAAATGAAGGGTCTGTGAAATCTGTCTTTGCTGCGTCATCCTCTGTGGTCCTGAACAGCGTCAGCTTTTCCGTGGTCTTCAGAGCCAGGGGTTTGCAGAGGCCTGATTCCCCACCGCTAACAAACGTTCAGTTCGTGTTTTTATTTTTCATGAAACCCGTGGAGCTTGAGAGTTACTACTGAATTTTTCTAGCTCTGAATAGGCCATAGGAATGGAGATTGCACAGTTACACCATCGTATACCTCCGTGTAGGAGCTCACCCGGTGAAGCAGGGGAGTTGGTATCTAGGGAATGTGTTGAGTGCTTTACGACACAGTGAAGCAAGAGCATAGATCCTCTGTACGCAGGGTGCAGTATTTAGAAAGCAGTTTGCCATTTTCAACCCTTCAGACAAGATGTGGTTTGCAATGTAATGTTTATATTTGTTACTAATAGTAAATTTCATGTTTACTTTTGGTGGAATTCCACTGCAGTAGCTCATCTGTTTTTATCACTTTTTCCTTAGGTCTTTCAGGCTTCTTTGAAGTTGTTGAAAATGATCATTACACAGTACATCCCTAAACACAGGCTGAGCAAACTTGAGACCACTCACTGTGTGGAGAGGACCGTCCCGCTTTTGCTCTCCAGGACTGGGGATTCTTCTGCCCGCCTCCGAATCATGGCTTTGAATTTCATTCAGGTCTGAACTCCGTCGTAGAATTTGAAACCATAGATAATAACCATATTCCTACAGATAGCTGGCTTTCCTAATACCGTGCACGATTCAGTCTCTACTCAAGCGCATTGTCAGTTGTCCTTAATGATTCACTATCATGCTTTCCTTATGCTCTAAAAGGTAAATTTTGTCTTAGACATAAACTTTGATTAAAATGCAAAGTTTGAATTTTCCAGTCTTTCTCTTATCCACCATGTGCCTTTTTTTTTTTTTTTTGAGACAGTGTCTTGCTCTGTCATCCTGGCTAGAATGCAGTGGCATTGTCATAGCTCACTGCAACCTCAAACTCCTGGGCTTAAGTGATCCTCCTGCCTCAGCCTCCTAAGTAGCTGGGACTACGGGCACGCGACACCATGCCCAGCTAGTTTTTTCTATTTTTGGTAGACACGGGGTGTTTTTCTTGCTCAGGTTGGTGTCGAACACCTGGCCTCAAATGATTCTCCTGCCTCAGCCTCCCAGAGTGCTAGGATTATAGGTGCGAGTCACCACACCTGGCCTAATTTTTTTAATAAATAAAAACATATGGAAAACTATATCTAAATTCAAAATTTGAGGGTAGAGAAATAAATGTATAACTGTCTTAATCTAAATGTTTTCATTCTTTGACTAAATGTGCCTCTTCTAGGCTAAATATTTTGGGAAATATTAAGATAGAGATAAATTGGGGCACACAGTTATGCCAAGGAGTGTGAGACTGTATTTCACTGTCTCTAAATTATCTAATGAATTCATGTGGTCTAGGAGTTCTTAGGGGTCCCCATTTGGGCTTTAGAAAGTCTATGAATTTCTTAAAAGTTTTATACAAAATTTTGTGGGTGTGCACATCTTTCTTAGGAAGGAATTCAAAGCTTTCCTAGTTTTCAAAAGGCCATTTCTCCAAAATATGAAGAACCACGGATCTAGTTTCATTTTCAGGACAAATGAAAAAGGAGAAATAAGTAATAATAATAAGAAGGTGAAAGTAAGTGCCGT